TTTCAGGGGGATGGTGCTCAGTTTTTACCCATTGAGTATGATGTTGGCTGTGGGTTTGTCATATATGGCCTTTATTATGTTGAGGTAGTTCCCTTCTATCCCCATTTTGTTCAGAGTTTTATCATAAATGGCTGTTGGATCTTGTCAAATGCTTTCTCTGCATCTATTGAGATGATCATGTTGTTTTTACTCCTCAGTTTGTTGATCTGGTGTATCACATTGATTGATTTGCAGATGCTGAACCATCCCTGTGTCCCTGGTATGAATCCCACTTGATCATGATGTATGATCCTTTTGATGAATTGCTGAATTCGGGTTGCCAAAATTTTGTTGAGGATTTTTGCATCTATCTTCATCAGCGATACTGGCCTGTAGTTCTCCTTTTTCGAGCTGTCCTTGTCCGGCTTTGGTATCAGCGTGATGTTGGCCTCATAGAATGTGTTAGGAAGTGTTCCATCCTCCCTAACTTTTTGGAATAGCTTGAAAAGGATAGCTATTAAATCCTCTCTGAAAGTTTGGTAGCATTCCCCAGGAAAGCCATCTGGTCTTGGGGTTTTATTCTTTGGGATGCTTTTGATTGATGTTTCAATCTCTTTCCTTATGATTGGTCTGTTCGAATTGTCTGCTTCTTCTTGAGTAAGCTTTGGGAGATTGTAGGAGTCCAAGAATTTATTTATTTCCTCTTGGTTATCCATTTTGTTGGCATATAGTTTTTTGTAGTATTCTCTTATAATCCATTGTGTTTCTGCAGAGTCTGTTGTTATTTCTCCTCTTTCATTTCTGATTTTGTTTATTTGAGCTGTCTCTCTTTTTTTCTTTGTAAGTCTGGCTAGGGGTTTGTCAATTTTATTTACCTTCTCAAAGAACCAGCTCTTTGTTTCACTGATCCTTTCTACTGCCTTTTGTTTCAATAGTATTTATTTCTGCTCTGATTTTTATTATTTCTCTCCTTCTGCTGACTTTTGGCTTTGTTCTTCTTTAATTCAGTTAGGTTTAGTTTAAGATTGCTTATTTGGGATTTTTCTTGTTTGTTAAGATGTGTCTGCATTGCGATGAATTTTCCTCTTAATATAGCTTTTGCAGTATTCCGTATGAGTTGGTTTGGCACGTTATCATTTTCATTTGTCTCCAGGTATTTTTTGATTTCTTCTTTAATTTCTTCAATGATCCATTGCTTGTTCAATAGCATATTGTTTAGTCTTCACATCCTTGTGCCTTTCTCAGCTTTTTTCTTGTAATTAATTTCTAACTTTATAGCATTATGATTGGAGAAGATGTTTGTTATTATTTCAATTTTTTTAAATTTGTAGAGGCTTGCCTTGTTTCCCAACATATGGTCTATCCTTGAGAATGTTCCATGTACACTTGAGAAGAATGTGTATTCTGCTGTTTTTGGATGGTGTGTTCTATATATGTCTATTAAGTCCAACTGTTTTAGCTTTTCTTTTAGCTCCACTGTTTCTTTGTTGATTTTCTGTCTGGATGATCTGTCCATTGATGTGAGTGGGGTGTTGAGGTCCCCTACTATTATTGTATTATTTTTGATATCTTCTTTTAGGTTTGTTAATAGTTGCTTTATGAACTTTGGTGTTCCTGTGTTGGGTGCATAGATATTTATAAGCGTTATTTCTTCTTGATGAAGTGTCCCTTTGATCATTATATATTGCCCCTCTATGTCTCTCTTTACCTGACGTATCCTCCAGTCTGTTTTGCCTGATATAAGTATTGCAACATCTGCTTTCTTTTGTTTGCTATTAGCTTGGAGTATTGCCTTCCACCTCTTCACTCTGAGCCTGTGCTTGTCCTTGGAGCTGAGGTGTATTTCCTGGAGGCAACAAATTGTTGGATCTTGTTCTTTAATCCATTTTGCCACTCTCTGTCTTTTTATTGGAGAGTTCAATCCGTTTACATTGAGGGTGAGTATTGATGCATGAGGACTTACTGCTGTCATTCTGCCGCTTGTTTTCCTGCGTTACCTTTGTTTCTCATCCTGTGTGTTTTAGCCTACCCATTGACTTCTGCAATTTCTTATGCTGGGTTTCTTAGATTTTTCCTTATTTATGTTTTGTGGTTCTGTTCTGTTTTTTAGTTTAGTGGCTACCCTGAAGTTTGTATTGAGAATCTTGTGTATAATATAGTCCATTTTTTGGTGGTCTCTTACTTCCTTAGCCTAGACTGATTCAGTCCCTTTCCTCCTCCCCTCCTAAATTATTATTTTCATCTCCTATTCCAACTTGTGTTGTGAGTTTGTTGTTAGAGTGATAAGATTGTCTTTGCTTTGGCGATTTCCTTCCCTTTATCCTAATGCTATAGTTGAATATTTGCTATCCTATTCTGATTCTATCTATTTGTTTCCCTACTCTGTGTTTTGTGACCCCTTTCTCCCCTTTTTTCTTGTTTCAGGAATGAGAGCCTTCTTGAGGATTTCTTGTAGTGGAGGTCTTTTGGCTACAAAGTCCCTTAGCTTTTGTTTGTCTGGAAAAGATTTACTTTCTCCCTCATATCTGAAGGATGTTTTTGCTGGATAGAGTATTCTTGGCTGAAGATTTTTATCCTTTAAAGTTTTGAATATGTCATTCCAATCTCTCCTAGCTTGTAAGGTTTCTGTAGAGAAATCCACTGAAAGTCTGATAGGGGTTTCTTTGCAGGTTATTTTCTTCTGCCTTGCTGCCCTGAGTATTCTTTCCTTGTCATTCATTTTTGCCATTTTTACTACTATATGCCTTGCAGTAGGTCTTCTTACATTGACAAATCTAGGAGATCTGAAAGCTTCCTCCACACACATTTCTTTCTCAATCTCTAGATTTGGGAAGTTCTCTTCTATTATTTTGTTGAGCACACTTTCTGTTCCATTTTCCTTTTCCACGCCCTCAGGAATTCAGATTATTCTTAAATTGCATTTTCTCATTGCATCCACTATTTCTCAGAGACTTTCTTCAGTTTTTTTAATTCTTACTTCTCTTTCTTCCTCTATCTGGAGCCATTTAGCCTGTCTATCTTCGATTATGCTAATTTACTCCTCTATGATGTCTACATGGGCATTCAGGGAATCTGTATTCTCTTTTATCTGATCTATTGCATTTTTCATCTCTAGTATTTTATAGTTTCAATGCCTTTTGTGAAGTAACTCCAGAACTCATTGACTTGTTGCTCTATATTTCCCTTTACCTCATTGAGTTTTTTCATGATAGCTACTCTGAATTCATTGTCATTTAGTTTACCTATTTCCAAGTCCTCAGGACATAATTCTGTGTTTTTATTGTTTTCCTTTTGGTCTGGAACTTTTATACATTGCTGGATGCTAGAGGAGCATTTTTTGTGCATAATGCTATTATTTGGATCCAGTTACAGCCTGTCGCCACTAGATGGGTGTCGAGAGCCATGCATTCTGAGCCCTCCGCCTTCAGCCGTGATGGCGGCGCACAAAACGGGTTGGAGGGGAGGGGGACTTTCTCCCACATGCAGACCTGGATTCCAATCAGCTCTCGCTCTCTGGTTCCCTGGGGCCCTGGCTTGATGAGGTCTCCCCACGTGAAAGCTTTCTCCATTAAAGGGTTTCCGTTGCATGGGTCTGTGGGAGTCCTGGATGATCCCGCAGACACACAGCCCTCCCCCACTCCTTCCCTCACCTGCAGCAACAATCCCAGTCTCTAGGGGAGGTAGCGAAGATCTCTCTTACCCTGTTCCAGCTCCTCTGAGGGGGGGCTCCAGCTTTTCCACCGTCCATTGTTTGGCTGCTGTGGGTCTCTGACGATTTCTGTTATTAGGATTTTTTTTGGTTGGAAAGCAGTTGCTCTCTTTGGTTGTAATTTGGAGGGGAGAGAGTCTTGGGTGAGCCTATTCAGCCATGTTGCTGACGTCATCAGTAATGGACATTCTTGACAATAGGTTCTTTTGTTATATCTCACTAATTTGAAGTGATTGAGGAAAAGTCATTTGGAATCCACTTGAGTGAAAAAGAGCTATTTTGGTTTGTTTAGAACAAGAAATACAACCTTCTTCTTTTCAAGCATAAGATATAGCACAAACCAAGGGTTGTATTTAGAAGGTTTATTTTAATTTGCTTTATAAATTGATAGTGTGGCTTGATTTACACCAGATAAAATGATAAGCATTGGTTAATTGGTTTAATTGGTTTCCTCATCATTCAATAATAAGTTGAAATGCATGGCTAAAATCTGGTTGAAATTACACTTACATTATAAATTTACTCTGTTAATGCAAGCAAATGAAATTAAAATGCAAAGCAATCTCAATACTGTGGCCACTGAATATTCATTAATGTCATAATAATGATTCCTATTCACGAATTTTGTGATAACAGAGATGCTCGTCTCATGCTCAAGCAGGCAAGATGAAGATGAATACAAATGATCACTTTCCTTTTTACCTAAACACTCAAGTCCTCATTGAAACAAAAAAATATCAAATGGCTAGGTTTCTGCATCAATGTTAGGATATGTCTGTAGCATAATGCTTTGTGTATGTGTGTGTGAGGAAGATCGGCCCAGAGCTAACCTCTGTTGCCAATCTTCCTCTTTTTGTTTGAGGAAGATTGTCACTGAGCTAACATCCGTGCCAATATTCTTCTATTTTATGTAGGATGCTGACACAGCGTGGCTTGACAAGTGGTGCTAGATCCCTGCCTGGGATCTGAACCTGCAAACCCTGGGCTGACAAAGCAGAGCACATGAACTTGAACACTACACCAGGGAGCCAGGCCCTAGCATAATGCTTTTTAATTAGCATGAAAATTCTGCATTTCATTCTGGTAGAAAATTAATCAGGAAAATTAAATGATATTCATTTATTTTTGAAGTTCAAACAAATGTGCACCAATTTTCTTAGCGACATAAAGAATTAACTTTTTGTTCTTATTTTCCTCAAGAGACTCTATATTGCATAAAGTTTATAAATTGATAAAGCAGGAGAGAAAATTATACCAAAGGACTGTGAAATGATTAAACATTTCATTTTAATAAAATAGCTGCATTTCTCACCAAGGAGGCCATGGTGAATCCAATGACTTCAATATAACCATCATCATGACGCTGAGGTTCAAAATCATGGTGATCTCCTGGGTTCCCCCAGGGCATTGTGCCAGCACAATATCTGCAAGACAAGAGTAAAAACAGAATGAAGTTATTCCATTCCCCTCAGGATCATCATTAGAGAGTGACTTATAGTTAGATCCAGTGTTTATTTCATATAAGAACAGTTTTCTGTTCTTAATGTACATCTTCCAACAGAAAAGAACAAGGATATGTCATCTCCAAAATAGGAATCTGTGAAAATGAGCCATGTTTTCACAAGAAAAGCAATCCATAGTGCCCAACTCTCTCCTAAGTAATTATTTATCAACAGTTCTCACTCAGTGATTCATATGTCAGTTTTCTATGACATATTGTGAGTTATCAATAGGTGGTTTCAGCAGTTGGTCTTGGAGGAAGACATGTGCATGTGAGTAGAAAAAGGAAAGGGAAGTGAGGTGGGGAAGCATTCAACATTATACACATAAGTAGGATAATAAGTGCCCACAGGACAAGGGAAAAGTAACTGAAGATGAAAGAGTGAAGAAGAGATGAAGAGAAGATATAAGATTAGAAAAGGAGGGGGAAATAAAGGAAATTGAAAAAGTAGAGGAAGTGAAATCCAAGGGCGAAAGGGAGAGGAACAAGAAGAAAGAGAAAGTAAGGAAAAGAGAAAAAAATTCAATAAAGCTAACAAACAATGTTTCCTGAGAATCTAGGCTCTCCACTTAAACAACTAAGATGAAAATGCTTCTGGAATAGGATTGTAAGCAACTATACTGAGCACTGCCAAAGTAATCAGGAGACTATAATATGTTTCCCTAGCCATAGAGTTACATACAATTCTCATTTCAATTAAATTTAGTCTAAATAGAACATATTTACAGATTTTGTGTCTAAGTTGTCTGGTTTGCAAGTAACAAAGGGTCAGAGATCCATCTCTTCCAAAATCTTGGCTAGGGAGCCTAGAATCTAATTTTATGCCACGGACATAATGTGCTTATTTTGAGACTAGCTAATCTTAAATACCTCTTTCTCCTGAGGTATATAATAGCACCAAAGAGAGTTGACATCCTGGCTAGAAAATGCTACTCTAATTGATCTTAGTTTTTTCAAACCAATCATCTGGCAACAATTGTGGATGAATTCCATACTAAAATCAGCCTGGATAGTGTCCTAACAGCTTTTGGGACATTGAGAACATGGATTTATTCAAATCTATCATTCTTGGGGGGTGGGAGATCAGTAATTGAGAATTCAATTAAAATGTTCCAGTTCAGAGGGTGTCTGGGTTTCACAAGGACGGGTAAGTGCAGACTAGGCATGCCATCTCACACAAAAAAACACCTACCACAGAGAACACTACGCAAACCAAGCAGGAGAACAAAATTAACAGACCCAAAACCCTTAATAAGTCATTAAAATAACTCGTTTTCATTGGTTATTCCTGGAAATTTTCTATAATGAAAACAGATTACCCCAAGTCAAACAAAGCTCACATCAAATGAAGGACAATATGAATAGAGCTTACCTGGGTATATTTAAAAATACTATACACTGGAACTTGAGTTCCTGAATCTTTGGAGTGAGATCTGTTCCATCACACTGCAACAATCAAAACAGAAAAAGCAAGGGTTTGGAAGTAGTCACAAGTCTAAAGAAATTATCAAAGATAATCAGGTTCACCATAGCATATATCATGATCTTCCCCTTGTGCCTATCTCTGCTTAAGTGAATGCCTGGTACTATGACTGAAAATTTATCACCAGACCCAGGGTTCAGAGATTGGTTCTGTTTTTATTTAAAGTGAAAATAAAGCTTCCATTTGACCAAAACAACTTTTCTCTGCTCTCACAAGCAAAGGAACTACTGTCATTTTTAACCTTGGATTATTATTAGATATTTAGGCTTGCAGTACCAACACTACAAGATTTATGAATGCTTTAAGAATAAAAATAATGAAGCCTCAAGATAAAGCCGTAGCCATCTCCACCACAGTCATCTGATTCAAACAACAGTTATGAATATACCATTTACGTTATTTGCTTTTTGAGATAATTTTTATTTTGAAAATGTTAAACATGTTTTGAAAACTATTTAAAAGAAATATACACTGCAAGCTTTTTTAAAAATATTGATTACAAATTAGTATTATCTCCATTAGTGATTTGCTCCTATAAATTTAACCTCTTACAGAATTTGGTCTTCCAAGGTAAACTGCTTTACTGAAGGCTGGACTTGACCCTGGGTCTCAAGGGCCTCAGGCTAGCTGGGCCTCAATTCGCTGTTGTGTGGCTTCCCTCATCAGTTAGTGCTTTCCTCAACAGTATCCTCTGACTAATCAGAGAAAAGGCTTTCATTTTCCTTTCTCATTTCCCACTGGCGGCGAGAGTCAAAAGAGGAACAATCTAGTCACGACTATAGACTTTTCAACGTCAAAGGTATAAAGCCTGCTTTTATATTTGCTCTCCTGACACCCTCGTCACAGAATTTCCCATTATCTTCTCCTTTGGAGAGAGGACTGAAGTATTCCCTAGCTCCCCGTGAATTTTTAAAGATTTCTTTAGGAGGAGCTTCAATCTAAGCACAACGATTCTGCTCACAGTCAAGGTGGTCTCATTCTTTCCCCCGCTGATCTTGATGTAGCCTAATTTTCATGAGCATTCTCAAAAATTGTTCCCAGGAAATCTTATAGTCCTAAATAAACAAAGTCCTTTCAATGTTATTTAGATAAGAATTAAATTCTAGACCTCGATTGAAGGGTTTTTACAAGACTCTCAGATACTAAGCAAACATCAAGTCTCCCGATTTATTTAAGGACTTGAAATGAGTCAATAGATGACTATACCAATGAAGGAAAAAGTGTAGACGTCTTAAATTATCAAAATTAACTGTTGTCAGCAACTAAAACTTTCTAAAAATAGGAAGTGATACATTCGTAGCATGCAAAGCAGTATTGTTGCATTACAGAAAAAAGTATTCTTGATATTATCGTATGTAGAACAGAATTCGCTTTTTAATTTTCTACTTTTACCTCCTAGGAAACACATCAGTGATTCTGGGAACTCATCAAATTATAGAAGGATGGGCACCTCACAATATATTGTGCTTTCTTACACATTATTGCACTTAAACTTTAAAACTCTTTAGAACAGTAATTTTCAACTTTTCCCCTATTTCAAACACACACAAAGGAAAATATTTGCATGCAAAAATGTTCCTGTGTACAAGCTCACATAGTGACAAGGCAATAAAACAACAAGAAGAAAACAGGGAAAATAGGGCAAATAATGCGGTATGTAGGTTTGTTATTGTCCTGTTTTGTGGTATAGTATTCATATAAAGATTTTACATTTATGTGAGAGATTATTAACTATTACCTCAGAAACACTGACTTCACACTGTGGCAAAGATAAGATGGTCTGTTGTTAAATATACATCTAATTGCTCTGGCTAACCTTCCATCCTTTCCATCCCACACTCAAGAAAGCATACAGTTATGTCATTGTATAAACATCCTTGTGTCCCTCTGTGTCACAGCACACTGGTCAATAATTGTCACTTCAAAGACATGTCTTGTTATGTCTGTTTTAAATGAGGAAATTAAACTCTTCTGAAAGGTTAAATGATTTCCCCAAAGTCATATACCTCATAAGGGTAGACCTAGGACTGAATCCCAAATGTTTAGACTTAGTGTCTAATGTTTTTTTCTCCTCATAAAAAAGATATTACATAAGCCAATCCACCTGGAATATTACATGTATTGGCTTATATCAAATCTTTCCTAGTTATTTGGCTGTCATTTTGGCCTCTCCGCAAGCTTCTCTTAATCCTTGCTATATAGCCAACCATGTACGAGACATTCATCATCAAGAGGACTGCCAGACGTGGAAGAGAAACTCTTTAGTAGTTAAGAAGTTTATAGAGTTTAACTTCAATCCAGCTGACTTGAACAGTGGATGCCGCTCAATATGACCACTGTCCGCCGCTCACTGGCTCTCTGCACACGTGTTGCTGCTGTTCCTCTAAATGTGAAAAATAGCGGAAGGAGAGAAAAAGTTTATTTTTGGCTGGGTTGCAAGGAGTGAAGAAACAGGGGAAGTTTGATGTAAGGTTTCTGCAACTTAAATTTATTAACCATAATGTTACCACAATAAAGATCTTCATAGTTCAATGGACCAAGTGTCTTTCTTGTATCTAGCTTTAAGAAGGCAGTATGTTCATTTTTAAGAGTTTCTACTACTAAAAGATGCTTGCTTTTCATTGCCATTGTAAAGGAGCTGAACTATCTGAAAGAGATGCCAAAAGTTGTTAGCACCAGTGGTCTCTTATTTCAACTGATTCAGGAGATTCATGTCTCATATATGCTTCATTGGTGATCATAAATTTTAATTTGTTCCTCTCATGCTCCTCTGTATTCCTCTATATACCCACTAATTTAAGATCATATATTTTTCTCTATTCTCATGGACATCTTTTGTTCTGTCCCCTCTTGTCACATATTCTATTCTTTATCTATGCCATGAGAAGTTCAAGTATTGCTATATTCCTTTTCTTCCCCATCTATATATTTTTCTCTTCTGTCTTCCATTTTCTCCTTTATTTATACAAGTATGTACAACTATGTCATGTTCATTCCTCTTTTAACTTGGTTACTATAAGAAAACATTTTCTTTCTCAATAACTAATTCTATACTGTTTTAAAACACAGTCTCTGAAAGATAACTTCCTCTCTCCCTTGCCTCCAAGCAGTATGTGTCCAAAACCTGGAATAGGGACCCAGGAAGAAACAGCACCAAAAAAAAAAAAAAAAAAAAAAAATCCATTCAGTGGTGAAGAACCTTGACCAGGTTGGAGAGTGAATCATGACAAAATAATGAAATCAAAGCATTTTTCTAAAATGGAAATTCCTCAGACAGCCCTGGAATAAAGGTATTTGTTTGGTGAGCACCTATTTCTACTTCAAGACCCAGCTCAACATTGTTTCTTTGATGGTTTCCCTGACCCTACCACGGTCAGTTTCCATTTCTCCCTCTGCGCCACCACCACGTTATATAGGTAGTCAACTAACAATGTTTACTATATCAGTCTACAATGAGTTATGTGCCCTTTTCCATGACTGAACTGTGAGTTTCTTCAGAAATGAAGCTAGTCATCTTATTTATCTTCATCCCCAGCAACTAAGACAGTGCCCAACACATAGTTAAATGCTCATAAATGTTGAATGAACTACACTTAATTCACTTAATGTTCTATGTAGTCCACTGATTAATCTAAGCATATAAACTGATGTTTGGAGTTCCTTTGTTGCGGCATACATATTCATATCTAAATGAAATAAGTCAACACATTCAATACTTACGACAACTTTAACATGTTTGGAAAGATCTCTAGAGCTTCTCTGTAGGAAATCAGAAAAAGCTGCCTACACCACAAGGAAATAAAGAAAAAATTTCTTAAGTACATGGTCATGCCAAATCTTTGCTTCTATCTTATAGATAGTTCCTAGTGATTCTCAATTATACAAAAATATAAAACAACTTCTCCTCCTCTGAATCCAAAGTAAAGTAGTGCAGAGTCTGTCAAGTTGAAATCTTTCTCTTTGTTTTCACATTATAACCTATAATAAGATTTAAGATCACAGTAGGAGAGTGAAAGTGTAGATCAGTCCAGGAGTCAGTATGGAGATTTATTTTGACTACCTTTCCTAACTTTCCTATTTGTCCATTAGGTGCTGATATAATCTTTAACTTGCCACTGAGAATGTCTTGCTTGATCCCCTTTTACTTTGACTCCCTCTATCCAGTGATATAAATTTAAACCACATTTTAAAATCAATATTTTAGAAGCCTTTTTTTTCTTGCTGGCCAATCACCCCCAGGGACATCCCTGAGGAGGAGAAGAAGTAAAAAGAAGGAGCCCCCTTTTCTCTTAGATATGGTTCCATCAAAGACTTCCCATGCTCCGTCAATTTCTCATGCAAACATTGATGCAAATATACCCCTGTGGCAACTACATTCCTCCCCAAGACTTTCCATACTTCTTTCAGTCTATCTAATTTCCCCATTCTCTAGATGGCTTTTATGTTTGCTTTTCACATCACTCCTTCAGTATCATCCCCTCGGTACAACATGGAGCCTTAGGGCTTTAAAATTCAAAGATGATAAACACCAGCTCTCTTTCTGCCAACTAACTGAAGACATACATCTTACTTTTATTCTTAAACCAAGACATTAAACGTTAACCTTATGTGGACATATATGTAAACATCTGAGATGTGTCTGTAATTATTTTTAATATAGTTAGCAACTTTATTACCAACAGCGAATTACTACTAAGTGATATGTAATAATTGTAAAATGAAATATATACTTACCCCTGCATAGAACATTTTATTTCGAAAACGACTGTTGAATTTCTCTGGATTTGCTTCTGTGAAATGGAAAAGACAGTTTGGTTATAGAGACCTCATTAAAGGTAGTGACTTAGATTAGCACCCCTACTTCCTTGCCCTCCCTTCCTCCCCCACAGATCCAACAGACCCAACAGCTTCATTAACATCTTTCCCTTAGTTACAGGCCAGTTGTCCAGCGCTATAAAAGTGTAGCCCCAAACTGGCAGCATCCAGCATCAACTGGGAGCTTGTTACCAATGCAAATTATTAGGCTCTATCCCCGACCTACTGAATTAGAATGTCTATGGGGTGGTGTCTAGGAATCCATGGTTTAACAAGCTCTTCAGGTAATTTGCATGCATATTAAAGGTTGAGACACTCTGAACTCTATCCAAACTAGAGGGTTGGCAGGGATACAGGGCAGGGGTGAGAGGACAATGAGGGAGGGGTGATTATTAGCTTTGACCCCCATAGAGGATGTCTACTATAAACTAGGTATGCAGCTTCCAAATGTAATTAAATATGGGGAATTTGGGTAAAACTTATTGGAAAATTTGCTTTTACATTTTGCAAAAACTAACTACCATCTATGCTCTTGTTTGTGACAAGCCTTGAAAAATCATTTGATTTAGTGGAGATATATAAATATAGATCTGCAGATGACCTGCTGAATTGACTCAGGGCATATGACAGCAAAGTCTCTGGCTGAAAAAATGGTTCAATTTTGAGTTTGTTCTTGTATGTTATTAAGGCTGAGGACAAAAAGATTAAACAAGAGTCTGCATCAAACAATGTTCACATGAATTCAAGGGATTAAAAATTCCTAAAAGAAATATCATTTCCTTAAATTCTAATAAAATTCTAAGACATTCCAAAGGAACTCACTGTCAATGTTTCGCCCTCTGCTATCTTATCCTATATGCTCATTTATCCTTTCTTAGGGCTAGGTTTTTTAAAAAAGATGTGAGGTAAAATGCTGTTATCTCTCCGCTAATAATATAATAGTATATTATACAATTGACTCCCATATTGAGGCCTCCTTAGCAACTGGATCCTTTTCCCATTTTTATATCTACCCTATTCCAAGAACAAATCAGACTTGGAAACAAAAGTTGGCTGGAGCTAAGAGAGATGTCTGCTAGTGTTAGACCTTTGCCACTAACCCTACAGAAGCCAGGCCACAAGAAAGCAAGGGATAGCCTGCAAATAACAGTACTCAATCATTCCTCACTGGCTACTAAATGGGAAGGGTTGAGCGGCTGAACATGTCTATGTGCATGTGTAAGAACTGATATATCTTTGAAAAGGATCAAAGAATATAGATCCCAACTACGTATATCAAGAAAAAGGGGGATACAGAATTGAGAAAGGGCCATTAAGAAAGTTTAAGGTTCTTTCTCCTTAAGAAAGTTGTGTCTGTTAATTGGTATGAGGTAAACCATGAAAAGCCATGCTCAAGAAATACCAATACTCAAAGTATCCCAAGATCCCAACAGTGGAAGTATCCATGGCTTATTGCTGCAATTCCTAAATTGCCCATCCTCTTCTTCCACAAGAAGAAGGTATGAGATAGTGAGATCCAAACACTCACTGTGTATGTCTACACCATTAACTTATTTACAATCTGACTGGACACGAACATTAACTGTATTAGTTTTCTATCCCTGTAAACTTGGTAGCTTAAAACATCCATTTATTTTCTTACAGTACTCTAGGCCAAAAGTCTGGACTGGGCTCTCCTGAGTCCTCTGTTTAGGGTCTTATAAAGCCAACATCAAGATGTCAGCCTGCAGGGCTCTTATCTGGAGGCTCTAGAAAAGATTGACTTCCAAGCTCATTCAGGTTGTTGACAAAATCTATTTCCCTGCAGTTGTAGGAATGAAGTTCTTTTTCCTTGCTGGCTGTTGGCTAGGGTTCATTATCAACTTCTAGAGGCCTCCTGTATCCCTTGGCTTGCAATCCCCTCCATTATCAGGGCCAGCAATGGCACATCAAGTCCTTCTCACACTTTGAATTTATCTGACTTCCTCCTCTGTCACATCTCTCTCACTTCCTGTTCTATCTTCCACTTCTGCTTTTAAGGGCTCATGTTATTACAAAGGGCGCACTCAGACAATCCAGAATTATCTTCCTATCTTAAGGCCAGCTAGTTATTAACCTTACATGACATATATTAACAACAACATGACATCAAATGGCACAGGTTATGGAGGCCAAAATCCTACCTACCAATATCCACCCTTATGGCTTCATGATTCACATCTTTCACATATGAAAAATACATTTAGTTCCTCCAAGGTCCCCAAAGGTCTCATCCCCAATATGGCATCAACTCAAAATCCACAAATCTCATCTAAATCTCACTAGCTCAAACTTTCCAAATCTCATCATCTAAATCATCTAAATGATTTGGCTCTGGATGTAATCCATTTATAATGATGATGAGGCTCTGGGTATAATCCATTCCATTGATTTAATATATTAATCCCATCCTCATACAAAACACAATAACATGTGTGCCATCAGAATGGGCTCCTAAACCCTTATTTCGTCTGTAATTTGTCTTGCAAATTAGGAAGAAATTCGTAAATATAAGTTCAACACTATGTTTATCAATAAGCAATTTGGACCCCATATAACTCACACGTCTTCCATATTCTCTGCATTGGATACTTACCCAATCTTAATACTTGAGTTATGTAAACATAAATGACTCCAAAATCTATACCTATAGTAACATTGCTACCTTCAATTCCACGGTACATATTTTAAAAAATCTTCCTTCCAATATCATCTCTCATTAAGGACATGTATTTTTACCAACATTATCTTCATTTCACCAACACCACTACAAAAATCTTTAATTATGTAATAACTGGTCATCTAATTCATCTTCATCGCAAGTTGACTTGTCCCTCTGTACTTTTCTTTCCTGTCTGAAACATCCTCGCCCACTTCACTTCTTGTCTACGTCACACTCCTCCTTTATCTCCCAGTTGTATTATCTCCTACCCTTTCTGGAAATTTTCCCGATACATTTCCCCTGGCAACAATCCTGTCGAATTCCTATTTTATTTACTGCCTATACAACTAATCTTTTCCCTTTCTATGTATTCCCTTCTGTTGTTATTTATCTTTTATAGATGGGGCTTTTCCTCCAATTAAACATTCTATTACTGTAACAAACACTTATTGAGACAGACACTGGACTTGGCACAGGGAATATAAAAATAAATAGGATGTGGTCTTTTGCCCCCATGGAGTTTAGACTGGAGGAGAAAGGTCTGAAAATGAAAAGTAAACCATCATTTTGTATATGCCAGAAAAAGATGTCTATATAAGATGAGGTGGTGGTAACACAGAAAGGGAATGATCAGAAAAGTGTTCCAGAGGCAGGTACACTTGAATCTTGAATGATCAGTAAGTGCCACGCAGAGGTTCAAGATGGAAGAGAAGATTACCGACAGAGAACCTTGGACAGCGAGAGCTTCTCAAGGGCAAACCATGCTTGAGTCTCAGTACCTAGACAAGAGTCTGGCAGTGTGTCCTTTGCAGGGATGGTGACAATGAAATTTAGCAATCCACTGCAAATAACACCTTTTTAAAGAAATCTGTCTGTTCTTCACATGAATCATGAAACATTCATAATCCTTTGAAATGTGCTGATCTGCATGCCTCTGTACATTCAGTGAAAATAGTAAATGCTAAATCAAATTTAAATGCTGCCTCTTCTAGAGTCATAATTGTATTTCTTTGACCTTGCAGCACAAGGGTCAACTCCTCTGAACAATAAGTAATTTCAATGAAGCAGTAAAATTTAAGCAACCAATCTCAGAACAAGAGTTTGGTGTGTTTAATATCCTTCATATCCAAAAAAATGACAATCTAATTCATATAGCGTCAAAGTGAGACCTAACTTTGCCACCTGATAATCACTGTTAACATGGCTATACATTAATAGATTGGAATATTTTCAACGTACTTCCTCAAGCACTGTCATAATGCAATAATGATTAAAGTTCTGGGCAAGGCTCCAACTGACAATTAAATGACCAATCCTATTACATGTCCAAATTCTGTTCCAAATGATTGCGCTTTCTGACATGCAAGTAGCAGCAGTTCAATCATGCATGGTTTAGCCACTTGGAGAAAAGGAAAGCATCCCTGTTTTCCAATCAAATGGCGTATACCTTCTTTCTGATCAAATACAGAAACCCAAATTATTCAAACACTTGCATTCTTTATATACAGTCAATCAAAATGTTAAGACTATCTTCACTCTTTGCTTGATTTTCTCCTGATAATTCTAAAAGCATTTACACAGTGATGCCACCAATAAACTGTCTCAAAATATATGTTATTTAATTGTCCCTTCTAAAAGAAAGACAATATAGGTAGTAATGCAAAAATCTGCATTTAGCCCAAATTGACAAAACATTTCACATCTATGCCAAAAATTGTTTCAGCAATTTTTAAAGATTCTGCTTTAGCAAGATTTGTATTTATTACCCATTTCATGTAGATGGACTCACGTAATTTCCAATTTAAAGTGCTACATTTTTTGAGTGATATATGATAGGTTATTTTTTATAATAGATCTCATGACGCTTTGAGTTGCCCTCCAAGTATTTTATGGCAAGTGATACAAGTTTTGTCACAAAGTCTCAAACTGTGAGTGTCTGTGTTTGAGAATAGTTTGAAGTCTCAACCATGAGTGTTCTTGACTTGATTACAGCCACTCACTGTCTACCAACAAAAATAAGTAACTCTACCCCTATTGAAAATGGGGCTTTGCTATCTTTCTTTTCCTTCTGCAGGTGAGCTTGGGATTTCTTGACTATCCAGGTAAAAATATGGAAAATCCAAACAAACAAAAAACAGTACAAAAAAAAAGGATATTATCTTGAGTAAGTACACTTTTCATCACAAATAATGATTTTAACTTAACGCAGGAAGAATAGATAAACAGATACTAAGAAGTCTACACCTCTGGTCTAGGCATATCAACAATCTGGTTTCAAAATTTTGTGGATGTTTATCTTGTACCATCTTTATGCCATCTTCAGGAATGCTGTAGCTACTATTCTCAGTCAACATCAATTCTCCCTGATCAGCTCCTCAGTGGCTGGTTTGCCTCAAGTGTTCTAGTTTACCTGCAGGGCAAATGTTTGCCATTCCATTTCATATTGCATTAAAGCACTTACACCAAGCCTCAGCAATAAATTACTCAAAGATTAACACTTGGTATCTTTTAGACAATGGTTTTATAATCACACACATATAAAACTATGCATCTACACATATACACCACAATTCGCACATTCCTCTCTAAAATGAAACAGTCTCATAGCTCAAAATAAAAGAAAACATCACTTTCCCACAAGAATTCCCTTCTTAGCCTGGTCTTTCCACCTTGATGTCTCCCTCTGCTCCCCCCTCACTGTGAGGCACAGAAGTTTCATCATAGTACAAGGAAATGTATCATTAGCGTAACTTTCAGATTGATTAGGCAAAATATTAGGCTCCCTTGAATAAGCTCATTGTGGGCCACTTACACATTTAGGCCACTTTTCATGCCAGGATGCCTATTTGGGGAGATTCATGCATCAGTGATAACTGTATTACTTTACAAGTATTGTTAAGAAACTTAAAGATTTTATTAGAAAGTCCAGATCCAGAGTCTCCTGAGGAATATAAGGGAAAAAAATAAGGGAAGAAATAGAGAAAGAAATCTCCATTTACTTGCCCAAATTAACTCTCCTTAAATAAAGGAAGGACAACAGGTTATAAATGTCAGCCCTAACGGAGGACCCTCTGAATATCTAATATCCAAGAACTGTCTATGGCAGAGAAGTGGGGAGAGCGGTGGTGGTTCTGATTTGGGTATTTGATATTTATAGTTTTGTTATCAACCGACCTTTCCATCTGTGATTTTTCTGGCTAATCAGGCCAAACTATGGCTCTCTCTTGAATCTGTATTGCTTTTATTTGGCACAGCATTTGACCCTCAAAGCCCATGAAACCAGGAAGGCAAAGTCTACCAAAATTGCTGACTTCAGTAAGAGAATTATAGGTTTGTACTTCACTTTTATTTTGTATTCTAACAACCTTAATCCTACAGCTTCACTCTTGACCTTTAGTACATAAAAGTTTTATCAGAATTTTCTCTGCAATATTGCTGGAACCTGAACATGTGAATCCCAGCTTTTAGTACTCTATTTCAAATTCTGTGAGTTACAACCACATATGCTGTGGCAGAATCTGGAGGAGAAGATCCTTTATGACTTCATCTCACAAATCACTTACTAACCTAGAGCCTACCATTATTTTGGTTATATATTAACATATTCACAAGGGACTAGGTACAGATATAGTTATGGATACAGGCATAGACATAGATTTATAGTATAGTTATATTAATAGGAAGAGAGATTAAGAGAGACCGAGAGAGCGAGAGATTGAGGCTTCCAAGCACAAGCCAAAACCCTAAACTTTCTCAGCTCTGAACGGCATAAGAAAATTGTGATGAAATATTTAACCACATCATTTCATCTTATTTCTCTTTCAAAAAATTGTTTTGCTCCCCCAATCTTGACTTCATCTCTTGTAGTGCTTCAAATTACCTCTCAGCCTCATTCCTACCTATCTCATCCAGTGGTTTTCTCAGCACCTTCCACACCTAATCCAATCACCAATATACCCTTTTCTTTCAACCTAAACCACCTATAGTGCCCCCATTGTTCTAAGGTGTCTCTTTTATGCACACAGGGAGGACTTTATGTTTTTGCTACCATATTTCAATGGCCCTAGTTATGAAGTGTTGGACTTTATTAATCGGTGATTTGAGAAGCTGTGAGTATCCTAATGATTTTAGTGAAAAAATCTCTTTTTATCACTTGTTAGTAGTTCACTAACTTCAAAGTTTCTAGTCAAACTTAAAGATTAGCAGTCCCGAGACCTGGCGCATACATCTGATCCTGTCCTTTACCATCTTTGAGACCCTAAACAACTAGGTCTCAGGCTACCATCTGTAATAAGTTCCTATCTGGTCTGGCTCCCAGGGTCATGCCGAAGGTTAAAATGAAACAACACGGAAGACACTGTCAACACATAAGTGATATGCAAACAAAAGGGAACATGCAAAACACCTGCTGAAAACTTCCTCCCTGGGAGATGGAAATGAGACGTTGTCCTCACCTCTGGATTCATGGAACTCCAGTGTGACGTGGGCATCAAATCCAAGGCTGAAGTAATTATTGAAAACATTCAGAGGAAGCTGCAATGATGAACAAAGGCAGAGGTAAAGTTGTGTGTAACCAGGCAGAAAGAGAAAAATATGACCTAAAGCCAGACATGTGTCTCTGGGGCTGTTCCTGGGAGAAAGCTCAGTCATAACTCAAGGTAGACGGTGTTTTGGGGAAAGAACACAGGATTTTTGAATTAAGTCATTAGTGAAAGCTCAACTCAAATGATACTCCCAAGAATTTTAAATAGTATGGGAAACAAGTGATACGAACACAAATTATTATATGAGAATCATTCTTGTGCATGTGGTAATAAGGAACTTTATTAAGCGGAGGGATACATATTTGCAATAGTTACAAAGAACCATTCACTAAGCAAACTTAGAAAGTAAATTCAGTAAGGATCGTGTCTAACCTACTTAATCAGTGGATACTCTTTTTTCAAGAGTTTCTGCTTAGTATATTAATATTGCAACTTAAAATGAGCAATGTTTAATTTATTTACCTTTCACTTATTTTCAAAAAACATATTATTTGACAAGTCATATAAGTAACAAGGCAGTGAAAGCCATTCAGCTCTTCTCGACTTAGAGGAAAAACAAAAAAAACAAACATATATATAGACACACACACACACACACATCAGTATTCAGATTCCTATTTAGTCTATTAAACCTTATATCTTTAACACGGTCATAAAATATGCAAGCACAGACACACATATGCTCGCACAAGCCTTGGCTCCCTTTCCCAGAGTCCTGAGGGTCCCTGGCTGTTATTACTGCAAGCTGAGTAAAGGAGGGAACGAACTATGTGCCTAAAGTCCTGCATTAAAATTGCAAAATTGATGTGACCTTACGGCTTCTGTTCAATGTTAGAACAATTAGAAAAGCATGTGGCAAATGATAGAAGGGATATAGTGATTCTTTTACTTTTCCTTCTACAACTCAGAATGGATGATAAAGCAAATAGAGAGGTAATTTTATCTCAGTTTGATAATGTTTCCAGATAAATATCAGGTTTATCCTCCAGATAGAAATGCACTTCTCTTCCATTAGAAATAAATGTTTAACCCTCAAGATGTCAAAAGTAAGTTTATTACATTGTTTCATATGCCCCTTGGTCAGTAAGATTTTCTGTTTGACTACAGTGAGAACCTTGTCCCATAAGAGAAAAATGAAATGAGATGGAGAGTGAGAGAGAGAACAAGAGAGATAGTATACAGAAATTGGATTGCCTTGGTCTCTAATGGAAATAAAGAATGACTCCCTCCCCCCACGGAAGGCCCTGAATCAGAGCTTACAATGATTCAGAAATCAAATCAGCCCTTAGAAATGGTTACAACTGACTGGAGAACAGAGACAAAAACTAAACACAGAGAGACAATGCCAAAACCATGTCTCACTCTCCTGGCTTCATATTTGAGAATGTCCAGTTCCTGCACTTAAACAAAATACCAGTCCTTAGTAATGACAGCAAGGGTCGATAATCCTGCCAAAAGTACAGACATGTTCATCTCCACCATTTATGTTTTTTTGGCTACAATTCTAATCCATGTCTTAACATCTACTCATAACTTAGGTGAACATCTGGTCACCATCCCCTAAAAAAATCCCAATTTAGCCTGTTAGTAAGTTCTTATTCACATTTTCCAGTAAAAGTTGCCCCAATTTCCTACACGTCTCCTCAAAAATCCATTTTCAAAGCTCTTTAATTATCTGGATTAACGTTCCCTGGCTGCACCAAGAAGTCTTTCCATTTCTTAAGCTGTTTTGAAGAGAATATAGATTTCTATTGAGGGTTTAGCCATTCCAAGTAAAGTGGGGAAAGAATCTTAAAATTTCCATATGATACACTTATTTTATACTTTGGCAGTCTTCTATGCAATTTCTGTAAGTCAAATACATTAGAAAGAAATATCATATCCCAAGATGATACTTTTTTAAACAGCATTGTGACCTTATGAACTCAAGCTCAGCTGAGCAATCTTGATATCTACTAAAAACCTTATAGTTTCTAGATTATGATTTAGGTGAAAAAACCATGATGACAAGACAAAACATGTTTTAACCTATTTTAGCTAAATAAGAAAGCTGAGCACCTATCACGATTGGTCAGTATCATGATGCTAATGAATTAATGGGCATTGGTTTGGTCTAAATGATATCAGGTTTTAAGGCTGGAACATCCATGAAACCTCAGCCTCAATCAAAGGCATAATCCAATAGATCAGGATGCTATTTAAAGTACAGATGCCTGGGGCTTAATCCTGCATTTATTTAATCAGAACTCTGGGGACTGAGCCTCATAATCTGCATTTCTAACAGGTACACCTGAAGACACTTGTGCACACAGAAGTTTGAAAACAATGTCACAGAAGAAAAATGGGAAATAATATACAGGAAGTGGCTCCTCAGCAACTTATCAAATTTATCTGAAATTGAGACCAGAACATAGAACAAAATGTTCCACTGAAGCTCTACAGTAGCACATTGACACCTATATTCCCCGGCCTGTTTGGGGTTGAAATAAAAGCTCAATCCCTGAAGAGAAAACGTTAAGTCAAAACATTTATTTAGGTGTCTTCAAGTCCCAATCAAATGATGCAACTGGCTTAGTTGATGCTTCCTAAACATAAGGGATATTTAAAATCAGACCAGAAATCTCAGGAGGTTATCTTTCTATTGAAAGACCATGTACTTAATGCTCCCAAACATATATATTTTTCATCTTCTCATAGGTTATGAATTTGAAAGATTAAAAAGTGGATACATGTCTTTCTGGTGTGGAAGCTTAGGACAGAACAGCTCCCTGAGCTCTGGAAGCAGCTAGGAAATCTAGGTCTTTAGAAGTCTACAGGGCAGAATCATTGGGAAGTGTTATACTCACAGCCCTATTAGCCATAAACTCAAACACTATCCTGTTTTCTCATAGGAAGGAATCAGCACATGACTCTCCCACCAGAAATGCATTCCTTGTGCCTCAGACAGATGCTCCAGCATTCCTCTCTGCTAAAGAAAGAACTCTCTAACCTTACATACGCCATCTTCAAGTTCTTCAGGAGGCAAGTCTGGGTTTCTTTCCACATGGAGATTCCAGCGATCTAGCTGTACAATTGTCCCATCTTCTACTTGGCAAAGGATCTTAGAAACAGGTTCATCAGTGTAGCCCTAAGGAATCAAAGAACACACTCGTTGCCACCTAGAGTAGTAAATGGTGTAGCCGAAGCTATTTCACACAAGGAAGAGCCTTTCTGCTATAGCTCTTTGTTTATTTTGCAATTAGCAAGGCTGGGAGAGTAAACTATTTTCCTTGAGGTACTTAGAATTTAAGACAACAGTCACAGGTAATGTGCACAGAAATAGTAACTCTCGCTGGCTTGAGCTGAGGAATAATTTTTGCTGGCACCAAGAATCAATAGTTACTGGGAGACATTGGGGGCCATGCTGGATGGTTGTTCTTATCAGAGCAAAAACAGGACTCCCCACGCCTCCTACTAGAGGAATTTGGAGAATATACAGAACAAGTGTGTATGGAAAAGGGGAAAAGGATCAAGGTGGTATCTGACAGACAATTTCTTCTATTAACAATCCATTTCTCTCACCTCTCCCTAACGTTGTAGTAGGATCCCATTCCTTCCAGGACCTAAGGCAAGTCTGACTGAGAAACAGCCCAGTTAGGGAGCTACTTACTCCTTAAGCAGACATTACCAACAGCATGATTACTAAGGATAGTCAAGTCATTGATTTGGATAAGAGGAGTTAACGCTGATAACACATTAGCTGCTTCATGTAAATATTTTTATTATATATACTTTGCCTACTTGAAAAAAAAGACCTATGAGAGATTAGTTTGTTCACCCAAGGCCAGATCAATATTTGCTAACATCCAAAGATAATTTTGATGGAGCCCAGCCCAGGTGATGGTCTCATATGAGCCAATAAAAAGTTGGTGGGACTGCATATATTAGCATATTGTGCCTTCTTACTATCTTAGTGGTATAAAAAATAAAGAAATGAAATGGCTGCTTAGTGACAGGTAACTACTTCCACTAAGCTTGCCTGAAGTTGGCTCCATGGTGGAAAGGACAGCTGGCTACCTATATAGCCAAAGCCATGATGACACTGACCAGAAAAAAGGTTATAACTCTCCCAAAGTAAGGGTTGTAGATCTGAACCAGATTTACTCTTCTGTCTAGTGCTGAGGGTCAGAATCAACTCAAGTCTGTGTGATTGTTTTACAGGAAGACTTGAGGCCAACCCACCCACTGTCTTTTAATGGATACCTCAAAAATCCCCGAGCCTGTGTACTAGCCACTAATTTTTTCTTTAACACCAAACTTGCCCTTCTCCTCTACATGATTGTAAGTTTAAACCAAAAAAATTACCAGATAAAATCATGGTTCATGGGCACCTGGATTCTCAACTCTAACTTATTCCATGGAAGGCAGCAGCATCTTCCCCTTCCATTACGACATCTGTGGAGTGGGGGACCCTGATGCCTGATAACATGGGCAGCCCGTGAGAGCAGTTCTTACCCCTCCCCAGTTGAGAGTTCGAGCCAGGTCATTCCCGGTGCCCAGAGGAAGGACCCCGACAGGAGGCTGAGGGCTCAGCTGCAATTCATCCAGAATAGAAAGGATCCAGCCCACCTACAGGCATATTGGGGGCCAGGAGAGAGAGAAGAAAGAGGTAAGTTACAAAGAAGACAACTTGAGAGGAGGCAGCTTTAAAGAGCTAAGTGAAATGATTTTATGTTTCTTTAAAACATGTTTTGATCCAGTGGCCAGGGAACAGAAAGACCACCTATCTCAGGTGGTTTCAAAACAGCAAGTCTCGGGGCCGGCCCCATGGCAGAGTGGTTAAGTTCACACGCTCCGCTTCGGCAGCCCAGGGTCTCGCTGATTCAGATCCTGGGTGCGGACATGGCACTGCTCATCAGGCCATGCTGCGGTGGCGTCCCACATAGCACAAACAGAAGCACTCACAACTAGAATATACAACTACATACTGGGGGGCTTTGAGAGTAAGAAGAAGAAGAAAAAAAAGAAGATTGGTAACAGATATTAGCTCAGGTGCCAATTTAAAAGAAAAAAATAGGGAAAAGGACTGTTTTGTACATACTATCATACCAGCAAAATCTGACCCCTTCATCTGTATGTTTAGCTAGAGATCTACTCTACAATTTAGGAGAGTTTAAAATTTAGGGAGATATATAACGTAGGGCACTGGAAGGAAGTAAGACTCAGAATCAGACTGAATTTCAATTCTGGCTTATATTGGCTGCCTAATCTTGATTAAATTATTTAACCTCACAGACTCATTTGCCTGATTTTCAAAGTGGAGATAATATTTACCTACAAGATTGTTTATAGATAAAAATATATCTAAAGCCCGTAATCTGGTGCCTGGCCCACCTAAGCGCTCGTTAAATAGTTACGCTCCATGGTATCATCTTAGAAATAGTAGTTTTCCTAAATATCCCTATATTTCTCTTAATGAAACATTATGAAAACATAATTGTGGATGGACCTAGTGCTTATTACAAGTTTAGGCAGAAAATAGATACTCATATAGCAGAAACATATTCTCATTTAATCTTTTTTTAAGATAAACAATACTTTGAGTTTAGTCTTATTACGACTATTTAGAAAAATTACCCAAAACTTGGAAATAGCAAAAAGAAACTTGTATATCCTTACAATGTCATATTAGTGTTTCACAGGCCGATCTAAGAACTTTACAATTGTAGGTTAACTTGAAGCTTTCTGTCCTCTAGAGATACAGATGTTGAGAAGAGAAGATTACTTTAACAGGTTATGGTTTTATATCCCCATAGGATATTAATCAATTTTGTCTCAAATTTAGGAAAATTATTTTGGTACAAACTACACAATCCATTTTTTCTACTTCTCCAATAAATCAGCTTTATCATAGTGCTGGTTCCTTCATAAAAGAGCTAAGTAAATTTTTGACATGTATTCATTCTAGATGTGTAGGAGGGTCATTTTTTTCAAATTTTGAAAATTATGCTTTAATAGTACATTTATTGAACACTACTGCATATAAAACACAGAACTAAGCAACTGAAATAAAAAGATAAATGAGCTAGGCTAAGATAGATAAAGTAGAATGAGTGCTCTCAAGGAGTTTACAATAACATAAAAGAGTGACATTACTGACTGCTTTCTATGTGCTAGTCTCTGAGCCAAGTTCTCTAATGAGGCATCTTATTAAACTTTAAAAGAACTCTAAAAGATCAATATATTTTTCATCTCCATTTTATAGGTAAGGAAACTGAGACTTGGAAGGAAGTTCAATGGCCTCCTTAGTATCAAATTGTTCATGTGGTAGAACTGGCATTCGAAATTAGCTATGCCAAGCTCCAAAGGCCAACCTCTTAACCACTTTGATGCCAGGAACCTTCAAATAAAAAACTAAACCCAGTTCTGGATATGGCCTGACCATCCCAGAGACAGTGGCATGGACTTTTGGAATCTTTGGAGTGCTGGAGAAATATTAGAAATTGCTTGATCAAATTCAGTTAATTTGCAGATTTATTAAGTGAGGTGCAGAGCGATCATATAATTTGCTCAAGACTAAATAATCAGAAGTGGCAGAGTCATAGCAGGTCCCTTGATTCCCATCTAAAATCCTTTCTCCTCCACAATGATTACTTCCCAGGATGGAAGACTTGCCCATCCCTCAAGAAGTTTAAAATTGTGTTTACCTTGTAGAAAGGCAAAGCACAATGTTCACCCAATGCGGTGAACTAAAAATCCGGATCTACAAAAGAGTGAAAAGTCCCTCCATTTCCCCAAACTGGGCAATTTACTCGGAGAAAACTCCTTAGATTCTGACCCAGTGCTGCTTTTGCTCTTCTTTTACACACAATACTAACAAAGCTTGCTACTAAAGAAAAAATAATACCAGATGTTAAAATAGTTCTGATGACTGTGCCATATACTGTTCCCGTGCTGCTAAAAGCACAAACTAAACACAGTAAAAGCAGATGCTCCTATTAAACTATAAGAAGGGGCTTTAAAGGACATGAAAACTCAGAAATCCCAAGAATCAGGGATCACTGACAGCAGATGCAAACAGCCCTGAGCAGAACCAGAACTCTCAGAAATGCAATGGCACTTAGTGGAAATCTAATTCAACATCCATACAGAGCAGGGAAAAGAAAGCAATCCTGAGAAATGATCATGCAGCCTCCCTTTATGGTTTGTACTCACAAGCCAGTCCATTTCTTTTAGGTAGATTTAAATTTGAAACTTTTTTCTTATGCTTAGTTAACGTGTCTCTCTCTTCTTGGTAAAGATAATGCTATGAGCTTACACCTTCAATACCCCATTTCACTCTAGACACAATAATAACAGCAAAAAAAAAAGCTTCATGCACCAGAAACAAACAAAACACAAAACAAAACAGTAAGGGGTGGAAGTCAGGAGGTGGGCTTCTGTCTGATAATGGGGAATAAAAGTTTGCCCCTTGCTGACAGGAGGCTGTGCTGGAGCCAAGCCCCTTTCTGGTCAGGAGGAGTGTGAAGAACCCCAGCCTGAGACCATGACCAATAGACAGCTGAGAACTGTTATGGCTGGAGGGTCCTGAGAAAGCCTCTCTCTAATGTGTGGCCCCATGTTCCCACTAGTTCACCGACATACTTGAAAAACCCCTGACATCTCCTCTGGATGGGCGACTTAGCCACCTATAGAAAACCTGACTCTCGTCTCAGAGCCCTGGAAACCATTCAAACTACTAGAAAGCGACAGCGAAGTGATGCAGAGAAAGAAAAGGGAAAAATCAAACACAATAAAACAACTTCCTCTGAAGATGAGCCTGCAAAGAAAAATTCTAAATCACATGAGGAATGCTGACACTCAGATGGACAGGAAAGTTAGGGGATTAATTCACTGTCCATGAAATACAAGTGACTTCCAAATGACGGCAATAACCAGCACATCCAGCACCCCTTCAATTAAATTACTTAATTTGTTGCAACACACAGCACTTGGCATATTTTCCATCACAACTGAAGAAAGCTATCTGGACTGGGCAAAATCATTTTCCAGTTTGCAGAGTTCTTTCCTGTCTTTGTGTTAGGAAAAGCGGGGCTGACAGAGTTAGAACACCAGGTCCCTGGCTTTGCCCCTAGCAGTACAGCCATGCCGCCGCAGTGGCTGGCCAATGCTGCCACCACCTGTCCATGTTCGGCTTTAGCTATCACTGTGTGTTTCCCAAGTGCATTTTGAGCAATGCTTTCATTCTGCAATATACTTACATTAGAGGCAGCTGAGGGGTGGAGAGGATGGTGAATTGACACTTTCTTTGAACAGAGTAGATGCACGTTACGTTTCCTTATAGGCAGGCAAAAAAGTGAAGGCTATTCATACTGAGAAATCAAAGGAAAACAAGGGCAACATTTCTGAACTCTGAAAGATAATCAAGACGCAGGATTCGATGCCCAGGTGTCCCTTTCTAACATGTACACTACGATTCTTCCCTTTGATATTTTCATTTTCATTTGCACTTGATAGCTTACAAGGTTACTGTGTGTTAAAAGAAATGTTTAAAATCAGCCCTAAGGAATCAAGATAAGAGTAAAGGTATGAGCTTTTTGAAACAGAGTGTAGATTTAGGATATCCATTCACACATTCACAATGACTGCTACTGAGGGTGTACCATGCGCTTCCTCTTGAGAGAGGATGGGACAAACATAGGCTAAGGGAGAAGAGGGGCTTGGAATGGTTTGCTTGCCCCTATCAATTAAAGGAAAACAATGCTTTCTTCCATGCTGTGGCTGTAATAAGTCAGGGCATGGGGGTGCCTAATGTTTAGGGTGTATCCTCATTTACGGAAGCCAAAATGAACATGAAGTAAGCATGAACTGGGTGGCTAAAGTTCATTTAACTCCAGGTCTTTGAAAAGATGATAACATGGTTAAATGTGGACCTGCTGACCCAGCCCAGTTCATCAAGGTCAGGGGACAGGTAAGTACTGATCATGTTTCACCTCAAGGAGCCATAAGGAAGGGAGAGTGTGTGTGCCTCTGGTGTCTTGGTTCACATGCTCTTCAATATCTAAGCAGGGTGACAGCCATGGGGAGCTGGATGGGTGAAGACGTGGCCAAGGAAGGGAGAGAATACAAATTTACCACACAACCAAAGAGCAACTATTTCTGAGTGATAAACATGAAAGTTTGCAATCATTCTAGAGTTAGCTGAGTTTTCTCTCAGCCTAGAGATCAAAGATGGGGCCAGCCCATCTGATACCTGCAACTATGTGACCACCTCAGGACTATGTAAACCAGTTACAAAGAGACTACAGCTGTGCTGTCCACTGCCTGGGCCCTGGTTGCAAGTGGGGACTGAGCATTCGAATGTGTCTAATCCAAAGTGGAGGAGTGGTAAGCATGAAACATACACCAGATTTCACAGATAGCACAAATCAAACATAAAGTACCTCATTAATGATTTTTATACCGCCTGTAGGTGGAAGTGATAACATTTTAGATATATTGGGTTAAAATATTATAAATTAATTTTACCTGCTTTTTAAAATTTTTTAAGTGCCTTCTAGAAAACTTAAAATTGAAAATGTGGCTTGTATTACAGTTCTCTTGAACAGCAATGGTTTATACTATTATAATGCTGCAGCTGTAAAGATCCTTAGAGATCCAAATGTATCCCTTTGCAGATTTCAAATGTCTTAAAAGAGGTTAAGGCACCTGACAAAGGTCTCAGAAATAGTGGCAGAACCACTTCTTCCACCTCCAAGTGCAATATTGGGAGATACATCACTCTGCATCCTTATATTTTTTAATAACATAAAACTAAAGTAACTAATATTGAAGCCTAAGAACTTATTTCCAAATTACTGCAAGATGTCTATATTAAATAATAATTTGCATACTTAAATTAATACGGTGAGGGTTAATACATCCTCATGCTAATCAGTCAAAAATATTCCATTTCGGATTCCTCCTTGAACTTTGCCATGATACTGACAGAATTCTGACAGCCTCGACAGTGACAGATAAGCTCCCCAACTAAAGGCTGCATACCTTATGTCAAATATACACCTGAAACTCTCAAGAACTATACTTCACTTGCCAGCAGTTTCTTTTCGTGAATCTATCAGGATGCTTCTTCTTTATATAAACTCTACCCTCACTCAAAATTAAAAGTTTCATATTCCAAACTGATAAAATTAAAAATATAAACAAGGTACAAGATAAGCAAAGTCTGATTCTGAGTGATTGGACTATAAAGGTTACTATTGTCAAAAATAATTAGTTCAAAAGTATGCACCAACTCTAGGGTAAATATATTACTTTTATTTTAGACATGCCTGTTGCAAGGGACCCAAGTGTAAACGTCTAGTGCATTGGTGAGTTATGTGGAAGAATGTGAAAACTGAAGTTAGGAACATAGTTAAGGTCCCTAAGAGGAAAAATTACCTAGAATATAAAAGAAAACTTATATTTAGCCTTGTGGAATACCCATTAATTATGGCATATTTAAATAAGAGAGCTAGAAAAGACAGGATATAAAATGTAGGAGAATCAGTAGTCTGTGTGTCGAGAAGGGTGGTATTAATGGCACCAGAGTGTATTCACAGACACTCAACACTGTAACTGGATCTGGTAATTAGGATTCTTTAGGGATGTACCGAATCTCTCTCATCATGCTTGGTTTTGTCTCTGACACTCTATTGAAACTTTTTCTTGAAAACCACCAGTTACTTCCTGGTCTCCAAATTCAATGGTAATTCTTCAGTCTCTCCTTACGGATATAACCACTGACTTTCTGGAAACTCCTTTTATGGCTTGTTTTCTTGACAGAATAGACTACTGATGGTCCTTCTCCTGCTATCTTTTCATTTTTCTTTTGAATTTTGACTTCGACTCCATAATTATAGGTGTTTCACAAGTGTCTGGGCTTGGCTGTCTTCTCTTCTTGTCCTTTATGCTTTGAAATCCCATATTTTCAAATACTTATCTAATTGCAGAAAACATCTCGATACCACATAACCTAGAACAGTGCTTCTTACACATATCTGCTGAGTAGAGGAAAGGAAGAAGAAAGCAGTGGGGGCGAGAGAGAGTGATGGAAGGTTCAATGGATAATGGGGAAGTTTGGAAGACAATGAAGACCAAGATGTGGAGATGGAATGGGTAGCCGATGTAGATTCGAGGTCATTGCCACTTAAGAAAGAGGAAGATATGAATTCAGGACACCAGGCATATCCTCAACTTGTCTACTGCTGTCACCAAGTTTTAGAGAAGGCTTAGAAAAGTCGTGAGTGGGATGCTGAAGTCATATGGGAAAACAAGTACATTCTAAAATAAGGAAGATGACTATAATAAAGGGTCACAATGAGTTTATCCTTTTATTAAAGATAAGTGATCTGGGGGGATGATTGAGCTAGGAAGAACACAGCATGAGAGAGAGAGTGTGTGTGTGTGCACGCATGTGTGTGTGTGTGGTGTGTATCTCCATCCCCAGAGGATTTGTTTAGATGTAATTTTTACTAAAAGAAGTTGTGAAAATTCCACTCTAGCATATCACTAAATATATGTCCCTAGAACACTACAATTGATTGAAATTTAATTGGCATCGTGGGGGAAAAATTTCCCTGGTCAAATAATTTTGGAAAACACTGGGTTAAACAAAGTGAAACAAGTTCGGCTTCTTTGCTGTAAGACTTTATAATTAAATTTATAAGCTAACAATGTGTATTGCAAATCTTGACGAATAGTAAACACTATTTTCTCACTTAAAAAAAAGTTTTCCTCTCCTCAGAATATCTAAATGGACCAGTGGGATCACTGTTCTATTTTTTCCAGTTGCATTTATTAGATTTAACGTGTGTCCAATGCTGCATTAAATGCTCATGTGCCATCAGAGATCAAATTAGATTTCCTTGTTACCTTTGAGAATAAAACATTCTAATTAGGGAGATTAAGGAAAAGCCAAAGATAGCTCATAACAAAATCCTAGGTCCTATGAGAGCAGACTCCAAATACAGAAGAAAAAGTCAGTGGACTGCAGAATCTAAATGTGATTTTTCTCAACTCTTTGTCTTTGCTAAATATGCCAATATAAGTAGAGGGAAAAATGGAGAAATATACAAGACAGAGAAAAATATATCCATGATGTCAAACTTCAGTCCAATTCCACCTTTTCTTCAAAAATGAACACAAATAAGAACAATAATGATCTTTAAGACAAACCAATGTGAGCCAATATTCTAAGTTTTATTTCTACTAGTAAAACAAAAAAGCAAGAATTCAATTGTGTCCACATACTTCTCCTTAATAATTGTGATCAATTATTAAGAACAAATGGAAATAAGCAATTTTTATTATTAAAAGAATTTTAGTCATCTATAATCTTCATTATAATGATCTGACCACATCCTTACCTTGTGGAACAGGAAAGGATACAGTATAGTTGAGGGAGTGAAACGTAGCTGAGAAAGACCAAGTATGAATCCATGAGGATAACAACAAATTCTCTCCTAACCCTTAGAGCCTATGATTCATATGAGAAAGACGTGTGTTTTTTAGGGGATTGGAAAGACTGTGAGGTGAGAATGAAGAAAGAGATCTGTCATAAGGAAAACAAAATAAAGATGGAAGAAATCAGGGAGTTGGATTCTATTTCAAGGACCTACCGTTCCATCCCCACCACAGGCCAGAATTCGCAGATTTGGTACTTTCCTATACAACTCAAGCCTGTAGAGGAAATAGAAGGAAAAGTAAACAAAAAAATCACAGCACTGGCCATACACAGAAGAGAGAAAATGCACAGCAAAAAGTGGTAGTGGGGGTACTAGAGAAAATGTATAATCAGGGACACAATACCACCAAATCTAGTTACCAAGTAATCATAAAAGACTGACTCCAACAACTGTAGCAGAGGTTGGCAGCAAACATCATTGTTAAATTGCTGACACTGGAATGGATTTTAGGGTGTCCTAGAGTTTTATTTCCCATAATTCCTATTAAGGTGTCAGCTCACATTATTTTCCTCATTAGTTTTGACTTCTTTTTCTTTTCCCATCGTTCTCCTCCTTCCTTTCTCAAAGACAAATCATCAATTGTCAATCAATAGTCCTTTATGTCTCCTCCTCATATTTTATTAGCTTTTCCTGAATCTGTCTATTTTTCAAACCTATACTTCCCACTCTTAATCCCAGGAAACTTTTTTCAGAGAAATGGGGGGGGGGGGGAGGATACCCTACTAGCATTGTCACTACCACACCCAAAATTCCATCTCTCTCTCAACTCACTCACTAACACTCAAACCACCATTTGTACTCCTCAGCCCAAAGAGGGAAAGCTTATTAGTTTTCCTTTATTTTGAATTTGTCTGCTTGAAGTTAGATCATTTATCTTTCATAAAGGCTCTCAAGAAAATGCAATTATACCAACCCTGCTAAAACGCTTGCTTAAGTGAAGCTGTTAATAGTTCTGTTCTAGAAAACATCACCTACTTAAACCAAATATTATTTTTTTCTGAAAATATTTCCTGTCCTGCCATGTTCTTTGTGGTGATATATGAAGTGTCCACCTAAAGTCTAAAGTGATAAAATCTTAAGAAACTAAGCATCTGAAAGGTCAAAAGCCAGGGTAGCAGATTTGCCTTAGTACATCCAAATACAGAAAAAACTATAGAAGTCTGATAGCAAACCCTAGTGGCCAAGAAGTTCATAGATTAAGAGAATTATGGTAGAAATACATCTTCATATTTACTGTTCTCCTGTATGTTTAAAATATGTAATTTATCCATTTTATACAGGAACATTATTTCTCTAGAAATCATCCAAACCGATATTTCTTTACCTTTGATACTGTTTCTTATTTTAAAAATAACTAGTAACTAGTATTCCTAAAGTTCTACGTTTATTAGATGACATCGAAATCATCTTAATAGATGGATTTTAGGAAGAGAATCAGACAACAGAAGAAATGACCCTGCTCTTTCCCACCACGTACCCCTCTACCAAGGGGAAGATACAGGATACACGTCACCTACATCTAGACTTTATATTCAATACTTGTAACAAAAACAGAGCATGAAACTTCTGAGAATCCCAGAAAATGGCTTGAGCAGGAATTAAAACGTCTCCCCTACTCTTGTGTAGAATCCACAGGCACCATCAATTAATCTCTCAAATGGACACAGATGCACACACGCACAGCCTTGAATTCAAATCATGAACATATTTATGAACAAATATGGCCATTCTGCACAAAGATATGCTTACATTCCCATTAATGTACATCTCCAAGGTTGAACATGCATAAGTAGAAAAATTACCAATCCTTTCCCAATTCACAGACTTGCTAATAATGTTGCATGCACATAAGCAGCAAACACACTAGAAGTATTCACTGAGTGAACAGCTGAGAAGATGGTTTGGAAGGGAATTAACCCAATGAAGAGCAATGGGGGAAATATCAGATCAAGTATTAAAGGGAGGAGAGCAGATGAGAAAATAGACGAGAGATGGTCAGAAAACATTTCACAAGGTAATCAAATAATAAAATATGACTCCAAAGCAGCAAGTCCTTCCCACTTGCCTAAAAGAGTATGGCCCACGGAGGGTATTTCCAGACTTACGCATCTTTTGGCCCTTCCTGAGAAAGATCAAAGACTTGCCGTGGATTCAGGTACCACATGAACATCTGCAGGACTTTGGTTCCCTGGAAGGAAAAAAAAATGACAATAGGAAGAAATTTCCAAATATTAGCTGCTCATTTAAAAAATAAAAATAAATCCTGTTATCTAAATAATATCTAATTAGAAACAGCATAGAGAAGTAGTTAAAATCATGGACTTTGGCCATCGATACACATAGGCTGAATGCCCAGATTAGACTGCTGTTAAACCTATGTAACTCTGGGAAATTCCTCAATTTCATTAACCTCAGCTGCCTTCTCTTTAAGGCGGAGACAAAAATGCCTAGTTCACAGACCTGTCGTAAGATTAAATGTAATAATGTTTGAGGAGCACCTCACAGTGTTTGTCATACAATAAGTGCTTAATGAATAGTATCTATAGGTTTTACCACCATTACTTAATGTATAGAAATCCTGTAGGGAAGTTATTAGTCAGCCTATGTAATTCAACAATTTTTACCTTGTTGTGAACACTACTATTGTCTTTGTATAATTTGAAATCTGGACAGTATTCACTAATTTTATTGAAATAACTTTTTTAACTGAAGCAAAATTATCACAGGCTCCCCATTTGTGTGTGTGTATGTATATATACATATATATACACACATATATTTATATATATAACATATATTTATATTTAACATATACTTATATATATATTTATAGATATAACTCCTCTAGTTAGTGGTATCAAACCTTACTTTGACATTTTTCAATTTCCATGTCTATATCTGTTTGTCCAAGCCAAACATTTCTCTCTCACAAGAACATTTTTGGAGTGTTTTAAGTGCTTGTGACATTTATTAAGATGACCATCAGGGCAAATACAAATGATCTGGAGATCATTTCTTAAAGTGAATTGAGCAAAGAAGAAAGGAAAAATATCTTTTTATTAAGCAATATCAGAAGAGCTTTAAAATTGAGTAGTGTGCCTCATCTTAGGTCATTATCAACCACAGCAATAAATATTCCTAAGTTTATGTACCTACCTCACTGTATTTGAGGGTCATCTAAGTAGAAATAGCATATTTGACTCAGAACTAACTTGGGTGCCCTAACTGGGTGATTGTGAGCATTTATAATCTTGCAGAAATTTGGTATTCAAAAATAGGAGGGCAATGTCTACTTTCCAGGGTGATTATGAGAATTAAATGAATTAGTAATAGTTACGTACCCAGCACAGTATACGGTACAAAATAGGCCTTTGTAAATGTTAGTCCCTTTCTTTTTTTGCTCCTTGTTAGTCTATTCATAAAATTACACTCAAGGGTGTGAGGGCTCAAGTGTAGTTCATAATTATCATATTGTTATGCCAGTTGTTACAGGGGCCAATGCAGGTCTTTTGTTCCACAGTTCATCCAAACCTATAATTTAAAAGTTCTGTTTTATCATGTGCTTGCTATAAATTTAGGAATAGCATCCTATCCTTAATTATTACAACTAATCCTTCAGTTTCACCAAATGACATATTTTGCTTCCTATAAAATTCAGACATAGATTTAGTTACACAACACTAACTAAAAATTGGATGAATCTCTTTCTTCCCACACCACGCCTTGCTATCAAGTCAGTTGGGGATTATCTTAAGTAATCTTTTATGTTTAATAGGTAACACCAGAGTCATTTTAATGACCAATCAATTTATTAAAAATTTCCAACTGACTCGCTAGAAAACTAATTTTTCAGTTTTAGATTCCTGGGGCAAGATGAACTGTTGACGTTAATTGCTCCTTTCCATCTTTGGCTACGGCAGAGTGCATCTCTCAGCTTCAGCTTCTCCTACTAGGCATATGATATTAGGTAATTAACATCTTTCAAAAAATAAAAATAAGAAGAATTTAGAGGTTGCTTTTCTTAAACTAAAATTTTTCCAGAAAGTTTGAGTGACCACACCATTCTGTTTTTGCTCATTTTCAATTTGTGTTAGTAGGAACACCTAATTATCTCCATTTATCCTTCTGAGGAAAGGGTATTGAGGCAGGCAAATTTTGCACTGCACACCTCTAGGAGGCACCATTTACATTGCAGCCTATTGGAATAACGCCCTCTGGAGTTGTGTGGTGATAACTTCATAACCATACACGGCTACTCTATCAGAGTCTACACTCAGACATGATATAATTACTTCTTTTTAAAGTAATCTTTCTAAAATATATTCATTAGCAAAAATAGTTAAGTGTCTGAATGAAAGCATTGCATTGTTTTTAAATTAGTACTGGTGGGTGGAGGAAAAAAAAGGCCTATCACATGTTTAAGTCAGTTCTATTACCTCTGCTGTTACCTCTAGCATAAGCTACTTTAGAGCTTTCATAAAGGTAATTTATTCAATAGAACTGAATGGTCCGACAAATACTAATTCACTAAGAAAAGAGTAATTTCTTTCTTTCTCACTGGCAGGATTAAATCTACTTAGTCATTTATACAAGCGTCATTCACTAACAAGTCCCAAACACTCTCATAGTTATCACACGCCATCTGCCAAATGCAAAAGCTGCAACTTTTGCGCGAGTCCAGTTTTCTCTAAATGAAAAAATAGCTTACACATCAATTCCAATACACTCCGGAGACAGTTCCCATACATACGGTTGTAGATACAATACCTCATTGACCACAGAACTTTTTAAGATATTGTGAGACCAGGTATTTCTATGGAGTGACAAAAAGAAGCAGTGTGAAAAATTGTTCTTTCCAATTCCATGTGTTGGGGAACAGAGTGTGACAGGAGAAAACAGGTAGATTGTTCTAGAGGGAAATGAACAGGATTCATCCATTCACCTACTATGTGCTAAGGACAGTTTTAGGTGGGGGAATAGAGAGATGGATGAAACAGAAGATCTTGCTCTCAAGAGGAAGTTCTATGCATTATTCATAAAAGAAAACATAATGGTAATGATTTGGGGGTATAGAGAATCAATTAAGAAGGGGTCAGCTCAAATACCTTACCAATCTTCTCATGTAGGCTGAAACATTCTGATATGTTAATAAGCAAGCCTTGGATTATGTCACTGAGGTATTATCTAGATCATGGAAAGAACTGCCCAGACAATAAGAAAGGCTGAAGAAAAATTAAAATTCATGGGAGGAAGAGGTTAAGTAATTATTTCAAACTGGCTCCAAACAACACCAAAGGAACACCTCATTTACTTAATCAACAGATAGGAGGCTCCTACCCTGCCCATGTGTACACTCAGGAGACCAATACGAAATCAGTTAGCTCACTAAAATGGTAAATGCTATGGTAGAGATGCCTTCTGAGAGGTATGAGTGGCCAGAGGAGATACTCTAAGCCCACATTTGGGGATCAGATGAAGGCTTTTTACATATGATACTTGAACTTTGTCTTGAAATACGGGTTAACCATTTCTTTCCACATGGAGTAGAGGAAGAAGTTTTAGGGTAAAGGCACAATATGTGTGAAACAACAAGATACGCCATGAAAAACTTCATTCTGTTCAGTCTTTGACCTGTGAGGCAGGAGTGGTGGGAGACAAAACCACCCAAGAGAGTTTAGATTAAGTCATGTATGCCAAGGATCTTGGGCTTTATTCTACAGGAAATAAGTCACTGAAATGCTCTAAGCAGGGAAGTTAAGACTTTCATTTTGAAGCATCAGTCTAGCTACAGACTAAAAAGCTAGACCTCAGGTCCCAGACTTATCAAAGGGGCTAGATGGCTTGGTTTGGGTTTTAGGCACTGCTATAGACTGAATGTTTGTGTTCCTCCCAAATTCATAAGGTGAAATCCTAACCCTCAATGTGATGATACTAGGAGGTGGGGCCTTTGGGAGGTGCTTAGGTAATGAGGTGACTAGTGACTCATGAATGGGATTAGTGCCCTTATATAAAGAGGTCCTCTGTCCCTACTGCCATGTGAGAACACACTGAGAAGATGGCTGTCTATGAACCAAGAAGTGGGCTCTCACCAGACACCGAATCTGTGGCTGCCTTGATCTTGGACTTCCCAGCCTCCAGAACTGTGAGAAATATGTCTGCTGTCAGCCCCCGAGTCTATGGTATTCTGTTATAGTAGCCTGAACAGATTAAGACAGCCGCCCCCACATTCCCAATATTGTGACTTGGAAAAAGGTATTTTCCACAGATTTATTGTTTGATTGCTTTAATTCCATCTGTTGAGGCTGGCTCAACAAGAAGATCTTGTGATTGGGTTTTGACATAAGGTTTTGACTGCCCCTCCACCCTCTTGTCAGCCTTTTCTAAGCTTTAGGAGCCTAAAATTTTATCTAAACATAATGACTCTTGATTTATCCCCAGGTTGAGCATCGCAGAAAATAACATCTTCATTGAGGTTGTTTGCTCAAGTTTTTAGAAACAGTTTGCAGACTCAAATATTTGAGGTTATTTACTCTCGTCTCCTCCTTCTTCCCACCTTGGTTGACTTGCACTTGACTTAGAAGTGGCGGACCTGGTCTGGGGAAGCCTATTCACAGATAGTAGTATGAACTTGGTCAGCATGAGCCTGTCCACAGACTGGACACCCTTCCTTCTATCACCTACTGAGAAGGTCTGTGGGAGCTCAAATCCAGGGGTCCAACTCAAGCCACACTTCAACCTTGGAATTTCACATTGAAAAGTGTGCGAAGCCACGGTCTGAACCCCTCAACTCTAAGGACTGGCTAGCTGGAATCACTCTCGTGGTCAAAACACCTGCTTAACCCTGAACTCATAATCGATGTTACCGGAAGATGAAGTTCATGAGAGTGTGAGGGAGAGAATGTGAAAGCAGGAAGCATCAAGAGATATTGGAAGGGACTAGAAGACTCAGGTAGAAAGATGTTAATGAGTCAGGAGCATCCAAGAAAAATAGTAAGTTTTGAAGTTAAAGCAGAGATAAATCTAAGAGAGAAGGTGTATTTCTTGAGCCCTCAGGTTTCCACACAGAGAAGGGGATTATGTGGGAGTAAACTCTATCTTCCACTTACTACCTCTTCTCCACAGGAGACACTCAAAGTCGATACCGTGGTCCCCAATTCCAGTGCTTATTCCCTCAAATAATTCAGATCC